GTCCACCCCAAGTAAGGTTGAAAGCTTGTTTGCCCGGTTTCAAAAAGATGTTCAACATCGCGATTTCCTTTTCAGAAAAGGGGCCATTGCCAAATGGAAGAAAAGGATGGCTATTTCCTCACATGCTGATCGGAAGGACATTCACAGATGGCTTAAATCCGGACAGTCGGGAACCCCAAAAATTTTGGTTGCCCCTGATGGTTCTATTTCTGGGAATATCTCCACCATGTTGAATTCCATATCTGATCACATGCGGGGAATTTACAACTGGCATAGAGATAAAGACCCCCAAGTTATGTTTGAACATTTCCGCCAAAAATATTCACAAGCCATTCGGGCTTCCCACGCCGAGTGTGTCGTGCCTGATCTGACGGCCAAGCATTTTTTCGACCAGTGTTCTTCCAAGAAAGTTTCAAAAGCTTCTGGTTTAGACCAATGGAGGTATAGTGAGTTGCGTCACCTTCCAATTTGTGGATGGCAACCCTTCCTTCTAGTCGCTTTAGTAGCAGAGGCCGGGGGTGGGTGGCCCCATCCTCTTAGGTGCATTTCCCTAACATGCCTCCCCAAAGATGATTCCCCCTTTTTCCGTCCTGACAAAATCAGAGCGATCGGGATTAGTTCCATTGTCTACTCTATGTGGAGTTCAATTCGCTACCAGCATCTCACCCAATGGATGGACAAGATATCGCCCCCTCATTTGATGGGAGGACTGAAAGGTAGATCTGCGGATATGCATGAAATCCTTTTGTCAAATGAGTTTCACCCGGGGGAAGGTCAACAGCAGTCTTATGCCCTATTCCTTGATAGGTATAAGTGTTTCGACATGTTGATACCCGAGCTGTCCCTAGGTGTTGCGAAACTTTTGGGGCTCCCCAGTCATATCCATGATGCTGCCTTATCTTTTTATGCCCATCAAAAGAAATTTTTCCATATCGGTAAATTTTATGGTTCTGAGGTACTTTCCTGCAATTCCGCGGTGCAGGGTTGTAGCTTTTCAGTTCTCATGATTCATTCCATGTATGCAATTCTTGCTCGAAGTATCGATCGGACTTTCCCTGACATTTCGATTGCGACCTTTGTCGACGATGCCAAAATTTGGACCAAAGCTAATCTAGCGGATCAACTTGCTGAGGCATTTCACTATATTGAGCAATTCGATGCCGATATTGGCCAGTCCCTTAATTCGAAAAAATCTGCCGTTTTGGCACCAACAAAGGCAGCCAAAAGAATACGTACTAAGTTGGCACGTCCCATTCAAATTCAAAAGCAAGTTCGTTCTTTGGGTAGGTACCACCAGGTCAACAAGAGATATTCTGCCAAACCCATTTTTGAGAAAGCCAAGAAAGCGGTTGCCATGTGTAAGCGGATTTCTATGTTGCCCATCCCAAAAGACAAACTCCCTGCATTTATTCATTCACATGTCCACTCGTCTTGGGTGTTTGGCACGGAAACCCAGGGGCCCAATTTGAAGACCATTCAGAAAATTCGAACTAGCATAGTTGATGCTTTTGACCCATCTTCACATCACATGAGGTCCCCCTTCCTGGTTTTATCCACCCTGGCAGATCCTTTTCTCGATCCACTTGCAAAATGGGTTCGGCATGTTCTAGTTCATTTCATGACCATGTGTGATAGTCACCCCCTCCAAGCCCAAGTCCTCTTACGGGAGATTTCAAACATGAATGCGCCAAAATCAAGTGCTTGCAACGGATTTCGCAATGTAATGTCCTATATATTGGCTCAAATTCACTGGAAAGTCCATTCCCCAGCTGATTGTAGCTTTGACACCCCCAATGGCATTGTATTCGTTGCGAAGTTGGATATCGCGCAGTTGAACCAAGTTCTATCTCATACAATTCGCAATTTCCTTCTCCGAAAGATTCCCAATAGACAGGACCATGGTGTTGTCCCAGACGATCGGCAAATCGATATTCATCTCACCCGACTTCTGCTGGATAACTCTTTTGCAAAGGATTCCCTTCACCAATTCGTTCAACCTTATCTCGGCCTTTTGCCGGTCAATGTAGATCACGCCGGGAACATCTTGCGACAGATACTTACAGGTAGGATCTTCACTGGTGCTAGGCTAAAGGCCGCCGGTTTGGCTACGTCAAGTACGTGTCCTTCGTGTGGAAACCAGGAGGATCATGACCATATCTTCCGGTTTTGCACGGAATATGACAATACCAGGCCAACCTTGGATACTTTGCCCTATGACCTATCATGGCGTACCGGGATTATTTTAGCCCCCATCATGCATTTTGAATTTCCTGATTTTGTGGTTGAGCTTGGCCAAGATCCTTCTCCCCCTGTTGTTGCCCATGGTATTGTTTTTATTGATGGGTCGTGTTTTATTCATGACTGGGCGAGAGTCCGAGCGGCCTCTTCGGCTGTGTTCATCCCCAATCAGCTTGAGTGGGTTATGTCCTTGCCGGGGTCATTCCTCACTTCTCAGAGGGCTGAAATTTTTGCTTTGGCCATGGCATTGTACGCAACTACCGGCCCCTTGATTGTTGCATCCGATTGCAGTAACGTTGTCCGGATGTTTGCTTTTCTTCAGCAGAACTCATTTGAACCGATTGCTTTAAAAGCTGCGGCCAACAAAGATTTGTGGAGCCTCGTCATTGAGCTTGCCAGACATGGGGATGCCCCAGTGCTTGTCTTCAAGGTCAAGGCCCATGTGAGCCATAATGACCCCCAAGACCAACATCTCACTTTTGGGAATTCAAAGGCTGACCTTCTTGCCAAGAAGCATGCCTGGCGCGTTTTTGAGCAATGCTCTGCCGGTTGCTGTGCCCGTATCAGCGAGGCAATTGCCTTGCAAGCCCACATGGTTTCAGCTCTCCATAAGCGAGCCAATTTGTTGAAACTTGTGCAGGCGACGGACTTTGAACTTCATGATCCTAGCCTTGGCATGGGTCCTTTTAGCCGAAGAATCCACTGTACTTGCACTTCAGCTAAACGTTGCCGAACCAAAACCAAAGTTTGCCAAGGATGCCATCTGTCTGAGACCCGGGGTTGCCTCGAAAGTGTGGCAATGTCTGAATATCATGCCGGGGGAATCACAAGTTTGACCCTTGATTTACTTCGGGCTCAATATCCCACTTTTTCATCAAAATCTTTTTCTGAAAGGATTCCCCCGATTAATTTACGGCTTCCCGGAGTTGACCAAATCCATAGGAAAGGAAGACGAGCCCCGGCTGAAGTTGAGGAGATTGTTAGATTCACTCAGCAGTGTCAGATCATGTTCTCCAGAAGTCCTACTGGGCCTTGTGTTCCTTGGACATTGGTCTATTATGATTTTTGCTCCATGTTTCCCCAATCGAGTTTAACCACCCAATATCCAACACTGCACCGTGCAGTGTGTGCTTTTCGTTCCCTCTTTGCGCAGACTCTCAAGTGTGGCGGTTGCAAGGTCATCACTGCGCCCAACTGTACTCATTTCAAACCCCTTGGTTTGGGTAAAGTTGCAGGATTTTTTGGTTCCTTCTGCCCCCGGTCTGAAGGTGCCTGTTGGTTTGGGGTTCTCACCCACGCTCTGGAGGGCGGCTCTTCCCATAAGATTTCCCCCTCCAAGTTTACTTGGTATCTTCCTTGATTCCAACGGTGTTCGATGCGTCGCTCTTCGCTCAGCTACCCGAGAGGTGCGTGGGCGTGATGGAAGCAGTAAAAAATGGACCTTTTCATTTTAGGGGCCCAGTCATGTGGTGGTACTTAATATGATTGGGGAATGGGATTGTCACCACCAATCAGAGAACCAATCAACCGCTATCTATATCACTTATATCAGCATTTGCACTGCTTAAAACATCCTAAAACCCATATTGGACACTCATTTGACGCTGAAAAAACAGATGTTACGCTGAAATCCCCCACTCAAAGACCATATTTGATGGTGTTTTACCATGTTTTACCCCCATCTCAACCCATCAACCGTGGCTTTTTTATGTCCTCACCTGCCAGCCTCGCCGCGGCGTTCCCAGGCGGCATCACCGGCATCCCACGACCTCGATGGCTTAAAAACCGGCGATGGCGGAGGTGGCGAACCCTCTGGTAATTTAAGAGTTTGCCAACTGGAAGCCATGACCCATTTATACATATATATATATATAGGATTATATAAGCATTTATAGAATTTCATAGATGATTTACAACATATTTACCTACTAAAAATGATGGTGTTCCATAGCACACTGGCGAATTACCAGAGGGTCAAATGATGTAAGATGTTTTGTTTTCCCGTCATTCCTGCAGTAGACAGAAGATGGAAATGTCATGTCCAAAACTCGTGCATGGGAATGCATGAAAAATTGCGTGAGTATCTACTTCAGGACCTGGATGTAGATTACAGACTCTGATTCTGATTTGCTTAGGGGGGAATAGAAAAAAGTAACACATATGATGTCCAGTAGATACCCCAAATGGTGCGTCAACCAATGGGAAAAAACAATGATCTTCAGCAAATGAAAATCAATCTTGGGCTTGGGGTGGGTTAAGATGGGTAAAGCTGGTTGATCACTAATAAGTAGGTTAACTGGGTTTAGAATGAATGTATCTACAGTTGGATGGGTGAAACTCAACCAACAAACATTAACTGGGGCCCCCTTGATGTTTGAATAGAACATCAGAAAATCATTGAAAATCAGCAAGGTGGCAAAGTTGGACAAAATGTTGGGAGATCTGAAAAACCGAGTCCGCATGGGGCCATGGGGTGGGGGCTGACCCTCAACTCGGGTTCCGGTGGAAGTGTGACCAGAGTTTCTCATCAAGCTGCATGAGGGTATAGTCTGTTCAGCTCAAGTCTGGATGTTTTGTTGTGCAACTTGCAGCTTTCAATTCCACATCGAATATTGGGCGATTTCAATGCTGCGTGGGTGTGTCTGAAAATGGGGCACGCCAAAACTCCCATGCTTTGTCATCATCTTCCCTATATAAAAATTGATGGATTCAAACCCTGGATTTCAGACCCACATCGTATCACCTCCCAGCTTTTTTCTTTCGCTTCTTTCCGACAGCACAACAGCTGCTGTAAACCCCACACTGTTCATCACGTCCACGACAGCATGGCACCACGGCAGAAGACAACGGCGTCCCTGCGGTCCCTGCGGTGTCCCTGCGGTGTCCCTGCGGTGTCCACTTTGTGCTGCTTCAAATATAGTAGATCACCAAGTAGGATACGAGGCCCAAGAAGCTAAACCATAGCAACGCCGCCTAGTTGGCTATTTCTCCAAGCCAAAAGTATCATGATTACTTTTACTGCAATTTCTGGTGTCATTATTGTTGTCATTATTCCAAATATATGTATAATATATATATATACATATGTGTGTGTGATTGCGTTATAATTATGCTACTTTCATCTACTTTCCTTAGTTATTATTGTCTCATTGGCACTGTTAAAGACTTTATTGTTCTTACTACTTTTGTTATTGCTATTGTTATTATTGCCATTGTTATTAGTATCATTGCTGTTGCTGGTATCTATTATTAAAAAAAGTCAATTGGGATCATCATATTATCATCCCATTTCTTGGAAACAGAAAGCATCAACGAAGCCACCGAAACGGTCACCACCCAGCCGCCATCAACGGAAGCAGCAGCTGTGACCAGCCAGACTCCTCAGCTTCCACTGGAGGATGTTGCTCCAGTGTCGATGGTTTCTCTGACGCGCTGGCGTCGTTGCGGTCCAACGGGTTCTGACGCGGGCCCTGGGGTGAAAGATGGTGAAAGATGAGTTCTGCGTTCCAAAGCCTTAAAATTCTGCAATTGAAAGCCATCCTCAACAAAGAACCAAATACAAACAAATATCTAGATTGTAGATAGATTTATGATATATTACGCATTGTATGGGATCAGGAAGGCATGTGTTTTTGTAGCAACCCCCAAAGGATAGAAAAATCATTCGCATGTGGGATCTTCCTTTTCTATCCCTTTGTATATATAAGGCCTTTCCAGGCCAGCCCAGCACTTCAAAGATCTCCACCGGTAGCGGATTCAGCTGCACAAAGTCCACTGTGGAGCGCCCATCGCGGCTGCGCTGCTGGTTGTCCGCCCGGGCACACAGCAGGGTCCTGCGCCGCCACACGGGGCGCTTGGGTTGCAAGCCACATAGAACTAGGGTATCTCTCACCCTATTCATACATATAGCTGGACCGGCCACGTTTGATTACCAGAGGATATCTTCGATGTCCTGATGGTAAACTTCGAGGCCCGCTGCGCTGCCAAATGCAGCGGCGCAATGCCTTCCTCGTCACCAGCGTTGGGGTCTGCCCGGCCGCCTCAGATGCAAATAGCTGCTAGTGGTTGCTAGTGGTTGCTATTAGCTGCTAGTGGCTGCTCTTAAGATGGCTATTATATGTATATATATATATATAAAGTATCTGTTTTGCTACTACCAGTATACAAATAAGATCCCCGATGTGGGCCCCAAAAATGAATGGATCCAATACATCCAATACTAAACCATGGTTTCGTTTGGGTCGTATTCAATTTTAGGGGCGAAAGGAATGTGGTAATTTGACAGTTTGCTATGAAAAATAAAAATCTTTAATAGGCAAACCATCTATGAATGGGCAATTTTCGATAGCTATGTTAGATTACCAAATGATAAGGGTGTATGCATCCAAATTGCTGGTTGAATCCCCAGTATATCTATATCTATATCTATGTCTATGTCTGTGTGTCTATATGTCGGTATGCCTGTATGTCTGTATGTCTGTCTGTATGTCTGTATGTCTGTGTGTCTATATGTCTGTATGTCTGTATGTCTGTCTGTCTGTATGTCTGTATGTCTGTGTGTCTGTATGCCTGTATGCCTATATGTCTGTCTGTCTGTCTGCCTGCCTGCCTGCCTGCCTGCCTGGCTGCCTGGCTGCCTGGCTGCCTGGCTGCCTGGCTGGCTGGCTGGCTGGCTGTCTGTCTGTCTGCATGTATGTAGGTAGGTAGGTACGTATGTATGTATGTGTGTATGTATGAATGCATGAATAAGCGAGAGTAAATCCCATCAAACCTAAATCATAACCCATCCCCTTCCCCTTCGCCCCCTGCCGAGCGTCTCACAAGGAGCCGGATCAGCTGCATCTGCGCCTCATGCGGGGCCATCATGGCATGGTGCAAGGCCCTGCGACCATAGACGTCCAGTGGCTCACGGCACCAAACGGAGGCATCCTCCTCCTGGGGTAGTCGCTATGGGCCCAGCATAGTGCTAGATTTGGGGGATGTTCATAGGTTTGAGTCATAGTTTTCAGGGATTTAAGCCTCAAAAATTAGGAGTTGAATGGATTTACACCTGTTAATATATTTCATTAATCCCATTAATATCCCATTGATTGGATATCAAGGGGATATGAATATATATTAATGGGATTAAGTATATAGTAAACAATAAATGTCATATACATATATATATACATATATATACATATATATATATCAAATTGAACATATTTTATCATATTTTACATTATTTGACCATTCTCTGTCTCTCCATCGGCATCTCAGAGAGTTCAACAGAAGCTGAAGGCAAGCTCTGGTGACCCCGCTCAAGCAAGGCCACTCTTGGGCTTTCTTGGACTATGCTCTGGTAAACTAACAATGCCATGGAAAATATAGAAAATCATCCGTTTTGATAGGTGATTCATTAAATCAGAAATAGTCTATATACAAATGGGCAATTTTCCGTTGCCATGCTTAATAACGAGAGTGTGGTATGACCATTGAATCGGAAGTAGCGTATTGACGCCGAGCATCGCACATGTCTAGAGTCTGCACTTTGGCGATTTACGTGATGTGTGGCTAGGGCATCAGCTATGGTGCTCTTGGGTGCTTAATAACTTGCCCATAATGCTTCAACCAACACCAAACGATCTAGTTGGCTCCAAAAGTTCCATTTGTATCATCCAAGCACCCAGTCATCCATTCATATCCGTTGAAGTCACTCGTCAACTTTAAATCACACATCATTCATAAGCGCATTTGCATAAAATGGCCGGTTTCTTCTCCAGTTGCGTCCCAGGTTTTCCCAGTTTTCTCCAAGGCTCAGCGACCTCCGCCAGCATTTCTTTCACCTTCTGCGTCTGCCCTGCTCGAAGCGCATCGCGGAAGAGCTCCGTTTCATCCTCCACGAAGAGGTCCGCGTCCCGGCGCCGCACTTTGCGACGCTCCATGGGAGGGAATGGAGGATGAAAATTGGATGGTAAGTTGAAGTTGCAACTTTGGAATATGTTGGATTACTGGTTGGTGGTTTCAACCCCTCTCAAAAAAATATTAGTCAATGGGAAGGATTATCCCATATATTATGGAAAAATAAAAAATGTTCCAAACCACCAAGCAGATTATATAGCATATATATATATATATATATATATATATCGTATATAATTATATATATATAGTATAGTATGATATCGTTGTGGGACCCCTACTTCATCCTACTTCGATCCATTTGGATCCATTTGTGGCGGTTTTCCAGCTTCGGATGGTCAAAATCTCGCCGAGGTTTCTGCGATTTTACTGATACATCTGATACCTTGCAGTATTCCATAGTATTTCCAGCTGGTTGTTGGCTGGTTGCCAGTATCGACCCCCAGGGTTTCGGTCCCTATGGCTATGGACATGCACTGAGGTGGGTCTCCTGGGGCCTGCAACCAGCAGTGGGACACAAGGAACCCCGAAAGTGCACAAGATGTTCATGATTGGTCACCCCGATCATGGAAATATGTCCTTCGAAAGTCCCCCGGTCGAAACTTGTTTCTTCGTTCTTGCGCAAGTGAGCTGAGTAGTCATCTTGACGAGCCCGCTTCAGTGCGTCTGAGACATCTGGTGTTTCCTGGTTGCAACGTGTCGGGGTTCCAAGATCAACCACCATTTCAAGTGGTCAACCATAAACAAACACTCTCAAGGCCATGAAAAAACCGAAAGAACAGATATCTTCCACTCTTGTCAATTAGACTCATTTCGACCCAGGATGACCCGGCAGGAGCCCCGGCTGCCCAGTCTACACTTCTGGCCTCTCATCCTCTCCCGGCCACGAGACCATCATGCACCGCAAGGGCTGAGAAGACGAAGAAGCTCCCGGCGCTGATGCCCAGCACGAAACGCTCACTAAGCTTGGCGTGCTGCATCCTTGGAGCTTCGCTTTCTTTGCCACAATTCTGATGCGTGACTCTATGCATGTATGCTATATATATATAACTAATAACTATATGTACATTAATATTGTAATTGACTGTAATTATAATTAATTATATATACATAGCCTTTGTAACTCCACAAACATACTAGAACAAGGTTGAAATGACCACTATCTTCATAGGATTTGACTTGCTATCTTTTTGACTCCTTTTGGAAATTGCTATAATATCTTTCCAATGCTGCCCCTACAGAAAATCATCACCAACTCAAAAAGATCTCCAAAGAACGCCGCAAAATATTCTGACATAGATTCTGACGTGTATCCTTGCAGAAATGAAGAGACACTTGCAAATTTCGTCTGACATATTTTCGGACATGTGTTCTGATGTAGTTTCTGATAAGTATTCAGACATTTGCTCTGTCAATCTTCATGCAACCAATAGTGTGACATCACCCATGTCATGGGAGTCATGGCATATTCATATACAGTATTCCGACAGTTCCTGGCATGCAGTGCCATTTACCCATTGTACCCTTACACATTGTTGCTCCTGTCTTCCACAGATCCTGTGACTTCTGATGGTGAGACTACGAAATTATCGAATTCATATGCCGCTACACTGTAAAATATTCTGACATATTCCATGCAATCCAAGTATCCACTATTATTTTCAAGTCGCTGAAGTATATTGTCGATTGTTGTCGTGATGCAGGATCAAAATATGGTATAGGGTTTATGCCCATCCATCATTTTTCTGGGAATCCAAACGTCATGAGTACAATATGTATATATATATATATGTGTATATATAATTATATATATACATATATAGATTGATTTAATTATTTATAATATATATATATATTACTTACAAGTATATATGATATAATATATATATATATTATCCATGGATTAATTGATTACCTTCCATTACCTTCCCCCAAGGACTTGGTTAATCCAATCCCAGCAACAAAAATATGAAACCGTTGTTTCATCCCTCGAATCATCAACCAGCCCTGGATCGCACTGCGAAACACCAGCCACTTGACGCACTTGGAGAGTATCTGATGGGTTCTAATCCCGTGATAGCCAAAAATCTCCGACTTCATAATTGGATATGTGTTTTTATGTGTTTTTCACTCCGTGAAATGGATAATGTGATAGTAGCATTGGATTTTAATCCCCATTGGATTACCATTGTTATGAAATATCCAATTGTTATAGTAACTATAGTAACTATAGTATAACTATAGTATACTAAAGTAACTATAGTAACTATAGTATAACTATAGTAACTATAGTAACTATAGTATAACTATAGTATAATTATAGTAACTATAGTAACTATAGTAACTATAGTATAACTATAGTATAACTATAGTAACTAGAGTAAAACTATAGTAACTATAGTAACTATAGTATCTATAGTAACTATAGTATAACTATAGTATAACTATAGTATAACTATAGTATAACTATAGTATAACTATAGTATAACTATAGTATAACTATAGTATAACTATAGTAACTATAGTATAACTATAGTATAACTATAGTATAACTATAGTATAACTATAGTATAACTATACTATAGTAACTATAGTATAACTATAGTATAACTATAGTATAACTATAGTATAACTATAGTATAACTATAGTATAACTATAGTATAACTATAGTATAACTATAGTATAACTATAGTAACTATAGTATAACTATAGTATAACTATAGTATAACTATAGTAACTATAGTATAACTATAGTATAACTATAGTATAACTATAGTAACTATAGTATCACTATAGTATAACTATAGTATAACTATAGTATAACTACAGTAACTATAGTATAACTATAGTATCACTATAGTATAACTATAGTAACTATAGTATAACTATAGTAACTATAGTATAACTTTAGTAACTATAGTAACTATAGTAACTATAGTAACTATAGTATAACTATAGTATAACTATAGTATAACTATAGTATAACTATAGTATAACTATAGTATAACTATAGTATAACTATAGTAACTATAGTATAACTATAGTAACTATAGTATAACTATAGTAACTATAGTATAACTATAGTATAACTATAGTATAACTATAGTATAACTATAGTATAACTATAGTATAACTATAGTATAACTATAGTATAACTATAGTATAACTATAGTATAACTATAGTATAACTATAGTATAACTATAGTATAACTATAGTATAACTATACTATAACTATAGTATAACTATAGTATAACTATAGTATAACTATAGTATAACTATAGTATAACTATAGTATAACTATAGTATAACTATAGTATAACTATAGTATAACTATAGTATAACTATAGTATAACTATAGTATAACTATAGTATAACTATAGTATAACTATAGTATAACTATAGTATAACTATAGTATAACTATAGTATAACTATACTATAACTATACTATAACTATAGTATAACTATAGTATAACTATAGTATAACTATACTATAACTATAGTATAACTATAGTATAACTATAGTATAACTATAGTATAACTATAGTATAACTATAGTATAACTATAGTATAACTATAGTATAACTATAGTAACTATAGTATAACTATAGTAACTATAGTATAACTATAGTAACTATAGTAACTATAGTATAACTATAGTAACTATAGTAACGATAGTTACTATCAGCCAGGTTGCAGGGTGGCCGCAGCCACTGCACTCAAGGTCAGGACGAGGAAGGCCACCAGAGAGCCCAAACACACTGGGAGCCAAGGTGCGGAGCTATGTAAAGTGATCATGGCCACCTGCTGCAACTGGCCAGTTGAAGCCAAAACAAGCGGGTTTGAAAGCATGAAACATGGGAAGGATTTTTTCTGCCCCATACGTAGCTATTTGACTGGGTCACAACTAGTTTAAATAGCATATATGCTTCGATAGTCTTATCAAACCGGGGTGCTTTACCAGCCACAAATGGGGGTAAACCCTGCATGTTCCGCCAGAGTATCATCCTAGGTCACTTCCTCAATCTGTCATTCCATCCATCGCTCTATGTCACTATGTATGCATTTGTTTGACTTACATGTGTATTTGTTTAAAATGCATGCATAAACATATTGTATATATATATATGTGTGTGTGTGTTATTTTTATTACCAGTACTAGTGTTTTATTGCTATATATATATATATAAGTATGTGCGGCAAATATTATATAATACATATCTATCAATATATATCTCTCATATATATATATATACATATTTACATATATTACGTACATACATACATACATACATACATACATTACATACATACATACATACATACATTAATTACATACATACATACATACATTAATTATATACATACATACATTAATTACATACATACATACATACATTAATT